CTCAATCCTTTATCTTATAAAAGACAAGTTATAGAGAGAGAGAGTCGTTCTTTTACTCTAACATTGACATCTCATCAATTTTATTACGTGTCACAGCCACAAAATTTTTCAATTTTTTGTATTTTCTAATTTTCAATTATCCCATTTATTCATCATTTATTCCTAGGTCTAATTGAAAAAAACTACCCCCACCACACACTAACCTCACGATCCTCTTCTCCTCTCTCCCATAACTCCACCATCACCTAATCGTAACCTCTCCTCTTCGTTGAAATTTAAATCTCTACATCTGTTTATGAAAACCAACACCACCACCGTTTCTTTTCTTTCTCTCTGTTTATTCCAAGCTCTCAAAATGCTGGATTATTCATTCATCAATTTCATATGTAACCGATGAAACTGCATTATATATATAGAAAATCAAGGTCCGCGTTTGGGGATTTCAAAAGCGAGAAAATCTTGGTCTTGTTACTGGATTAAACCTTCTTCAGGGAGAGAGTCCTTAGTTTTATTTGGTGCCATTGAGTTGAAATGAGTGACACACACAATATCTTAGGTGCATAACTTTTGTTCTGCACTTCTCACAATCTCCATCACTGTTCCCAACAGTTTTGTCCCTTTGTACTTGCTTTCCCCAGCTTTACCTCTAATTTGCTATTACACTCAATTACAAAACAAACTTTCTCATCGGTCATTTGTATTTTTTGATCCATTGTTTTAGTGAAATCCATACGAAGATGATGTGATACATAGTACACGAAACTAGGATAGACAAAAAGAAAAACTCAAAGATCCAAGTTTAGAAGAAGTCCAAAGAGATCTCTGAATATTTGGGTTACATTTCAAATATTAATGAGAAGATTATACCATTGTTGGATATTTTGTTGCCTATAGAATCTTCAGTTTTCTAAGTTCTAACTATGGATTATGTTTATTTTACCCCAAAAAAAAAAAACTATGGATTATGTTATCAAGCTATGTCTGTTTTCCTATCTGTTTGCTATTCACTTACAATTGTATCTTCTTTCATTCGCAGGCGAACATGTGGAATTTGTAGAACGATTAAAATAATCTATTTGCTATGATGTCTTAGTTTCGCTCTCGATACTTTACAGGTCTCACTAGTTTCTCTTTTTTTTTTTTTAAGTTTCTTGTGTGTTTGACTTTATATATATTGAGTTTTTTATTTACTCACTTTAGTTTAAAGATACGTGAAATTAAGCATGTAACAGCATATATTTGTTTGTGTTTTATTTTTTTAAGTTACTACTAAATTTTGATAACTACTAGTGGCTTTTTTATATGATAGACCATCCAGGTTTTTATTTTTTCGTCTTTTATTACCATTTGTATTCATCACAATTTGTCTATTCTCAAATTTATAGTCAGAATGGTTGTGAAGAACTAATTAGTCCATTCTCAAATTATGTCTACAGTATGGAGTGGGATTATATCAATGGATTATATCAATTGAAGTATTATATCAACTAATTAGTCCATTCTCAAATTTTTGTGCCAATAATTGAAAAGTGTGATACCTTAATTATGAGCCAAACTTAGAACCTTATTGTGAGACTAATTGACTCGCAGTGGTTTGATAAATGAATTAAAAATCTCCCAATCCAGATTGGAATGCGGCAAGTAGTAAGAAACATTAATAAGATTTCACTCTTGGCTAATGTCTGCTGGTTGGTTTAAATCTCTTTGGATCCATACAAACTTTGAAGAATTCAAATTTTTTCTTTCTAAATCTTGCATCTCTAATCCAATTGCGTATTCCAAAGTTGATAGAAATACCCACAGCTTC